CGGCCCGAATAATAGGTCGGATTTCATCGGATTTAAGCCAGCATTAAGAAATAACAACAACTAACTGTATTACTTACTTAGTGAGTGGGCTATGGTTTCATTAGTAAAATTTCGAGTGATCTTGGGCAAAATTAATCAACGCCGGTGCAATCCGACCCATAATTCAGACCGATCTACTGAATTTTTGTTTCTCCGCTAATCTATCCGGTCGGTCATGCCTTTAAATGACCTATATGATCTGTCATAGGTCATTTGGTCATAACGAAGATTGATATGACTTATGGCCTTTTTTAATATAGTAAGAATTATAGTAAAGAATTTTTTCATTAGTATTTAATATGACTGGATGACTATGACCTAAAGTCATATAATTATATGACCAAGGTCATATAGAAAAAAAATGGTATGACATAGGTCATCAACCATAACCAATATTTGACCAGTCAGAGGTTAACTGACCGGTCAAAATTATGACTGATGCCAGATTTTTAATTTTCTGGCTAATAAATAATAATTCTTATTATAGCTGAACTTATGAAATCATATTGGAAGATCTGCATCATCGGATAAATCATCGCTTATAAGTCTGGTCAAATTTACTGATCATTTGACCAGAACTAGAACAAACCAATTTTAAATCTGGTCAAATGATCTGCAATTTTAACAAAAATTATAGATGATGTGCCGATATTTTTTTTATATGACCGATCACAGTCAATCGGTTATGAGCAATTAACCGATAATGACCGAACAATGACCGACCAATGACCGACCATAACCGACTAAACCCATCCATAATCTTGATATGCTTGTTTGATAGATATTGTGACATTATCATCGATCTGGAATAACACTGACAAAAAATAGGTTACATCGACTCTTGTATAATTATAAAGATTGTTGAACCTACGTTCCTGGTTTCAGTGCGACAGCGTCGCACAGCTACCTTATTGAAAATTTCACGAAGTGTATGGTTATACGGCAAATTAAATGATGTACGTCCGCAAAATCTTGCATCTTATTGGGTATATGCATATGGCGAAGCAAAGGTGTGAATGCATATTGAAACTTCGCATGTTACATCTTCACATTCGAAGTAATACTTGCTCCTGTATTTTGTGTCGCATGAGATTGTTAGTCTAACTTTTAATGTGCGATACCTAATTCAGTGATTTATTTTCTCATGGTCGTTGCTAATAATTAGCCTTGTTAAATTTTGATCATTTTATTAATTAAAAAAACGATTTTATTATTTCAGTATTTATCACCATAGCGATATATCGCTAGTCTATGCGGAGTTTACAAATCATTAAAATCAATAATTTGTAAGCACAGTTTTGTACTCCGCATAGACTAGTGATATATCGCTTTGGTGATCCGGACATTATTTAGAGCTTATGCGAATATATAATAAAGAAGTATAGATTTCACTATAGTGATCATAACGAATTTGCTAGCTCGCAGATATCTAATAAGAGGTGAGTGAAATTTTGTATATCTTGTACTAGAAAAAGACTAAATAACTTACACAAAAATTATTATAACTGTGCTATCACTGATCTTATTCATAGCAGATATCGCGTTATGCGTGGCCGAAGGCCGCGCATAACGCAGTATTCTACATAGTAAATAATTTATTAATACAATCAATATCAAGTACTTATTTTAAATTCATGTGAATAATAAAAACCAATGATTTTAAATAATGATACTGGGCGGCGAAGCCGCCCGCATTCGCATACTCTAGTTAAAGTTATAATAAAGCATTTCAAAATTTTAAAATCGGAAAATTAATTGGAGTGTTTAGAGACCCATTCAACGGAATAAATAAACTTTTCAACAACAAAAACCTTATTTCAAATTTATCGGGAAATGAAATAAAGTTGATACATCGCACATTTGTAAATAAATCTGTCAAATTGGTTAACTAAAAAAGTCCTAATGATTTTTTTTTAGAAATTATTGACGAACCTCTTTATAAAGTACTCTTCTAACCTTGTCCATTATTCTTAAAAATAATATTCTATATTTAACTCTAATTATATCTTTAATCCTTTTATAATATAAATTTGTTGTTAATCACAAATACAAAGAAATAAATTAAATTAAAAATGTTACAAAAAAAATAAATAGACAAAAACTAGAGAATTATTGACAAAAAAAAACTACAATATTGATGTAATTGATTGTCACAGCTGATGCTAAAAATTGGGACCACTATATGAAATTAAGCCTAATTAAAACAACATATACGTTATTATTATCAAACTAAGTCTAGAGTAACTGGTGTTTTGCCAATGTAAATAGAGATATTATTGATCCAATGAAATATTTTCTTATTTTGCCTATGAAAATTCTTGTCCTGATAAGTAAGTCGCAATCTAAACATTCGAATAAACATACTAAAACCAAAATTTTAAAATTCCGTATTAAAATATTTCCGATTTTAATAATAGCCATAACGTTAATCACTTAATTAGTTATAAATTACATTTATTGTATTTCCAATTCGTGTAATTTACTATCTATAGAACAAAATCAATAATGTTAATTAATAAAAATACTTTCATTATTCTGCTGTTGGTCGCTTTTCTGGTTCTAGGTTCCAACATTTTTTCATTAAATCTGCATAGCATTTTGCTGTATTTTCATAAATATGTGGTCGTAAACCATCACATACTTGTAATTGAAATTGTAATCTAAATTGTAATGATCGTAATTTTAATTTTTGATCAAAAGACACAGGTTTACCATATAAAATTTCCCACATTATCATCCCAAATGAGTAGATATCAGATTCCTTGGTATATAATCGTTTGCTTAAAATTTCTGGTGCGAGGTATGGTAAAATTCCACAGACTACATCAAACTTTGATTTTAATGTAATATTAGTTGTTATTGAAAGTCCTAAATCAGCAATATATGCACTTTTCAAGCTATTTAGCAGTATATTTCCATTATGTAAATACCGATGAATAAGGTCGTGAGAATGAATTATCCGAAGATCTGTTGCAATGCATTGTAGTAGATTCAATTTATCATTCCAATCCAGCCGTGTAACAATATGTAGATTTTTGCGCAAACAACCTTTTGAGGCATATTCCATGACAAGAATATAATCTTTAGACTCCTCATCTTTCGATATACCAAAACATTTTATAAAAGTTGGATCCTTAATACCAATATCACAATATGCTTTTAACTTATTGTTAAAAAAATATTTAAAATTATTAATATAATGAATATTTTGATCATAGATAATATAGTTAAATATCCAATAAAAACTACCTCATTAATAAATTCCTTATGATAATTATTTGAATTATGAAGTAATTTAAGTGCAGCTTCTCTGTCCAAACCTTTGTTTTTATCAAGCCATTTGGCAGAATATACAGTTGCAAATCCACCTTTACCTATCTCTTTAATATCTCTAAATTCATTGAAGGAAATCCATGACAATTGATATTTATTTTCAGTTAAAATATTTTTAGATCACCTTTAATTTCAGAATTTTCACCTATCCATTCATTTTTCACTGACCCTAACAAACAAACAAAAATTTTAAATGATTTACCGTATATTACCGAATAGAAGCTACCCCCGAATAAAAGCTACCCCCTCGATTTTGGATTAAAAATTTGGAGGAAG